ATCATGGTTCCCCCCTCCACGCGCTGAATTGTGTTCAACAATCGACGAAAAAGTCATCTTCCTCGCACTCGTTCTGGCAACACGCGGCGAAAAAAGCCATTTCAAAGAGAAGGAGAGGCAGAAGGAGCGTCGTCTAGCGGCGCCGACGACTCTTGTTCTTTGCCTCCGGATCGAGAGAGAAAAAACCAGAGATTTGAGTGGGAAATTGAAAAGAGAGAAAAAAAATAGCATGGAAGAAGAGAGAGGAGAGGCGTGAAAAGAAGAAGAGAGAAATGATAAATGAGATTAGGATTTTTCAAGAATATATTAGACCATTTAGATTAATAAAAATAATAAATAAATAATTTATGTCTTGTATATATATATTATATTACAAAATCCTACTAAAAAAATCAGCAAATAACACAAGAATTAGGATTCTCCTCAGCACTGTAGACACGGTAGTACTGTGTGTAATGAGGAAAGTGATTGTTGTAAAGTTTCATAAGCTCTTCAATTGGCTCACTATTTTTATTTTCTTCCTTTTTTACCCCTTCCTTTTTTTCCGGCTCTTTTGAGGGCCCCACAGTCAGTAATTCCACGTGGCAGTATTTTTTCAATTTTCCCACAATTTTAATTGGATCAGCATCTCCTACTACTGTTAGCTTCTTCTCCTTCATGTCCATTGCAAGAGACAATATCCCTGTATATTAATATTAATTCAAAATTATTAAATTATTCAAAAGTATATAGTAATCGAAAAATTACAGTTTTAATCCCTCAAGTTTACACTGATTTCAATTTGGTCCTCCATGTTCACAAGAAACACATTCGGTCACCCATATTTCGGTACTGTTAAACATTTTTTGTCATTTCCGTCAATTTACCGTTAGTTCGTCAGTTAACGGAAAATTGACGAAAATAACTAAAATTGTTGAATTTTTGAAATATAAGGGACCAAATGTGAAATTGGTGCAAACTTGAAATTTTCAGTACCTGAAAGGCTAGAAACTGATTTCATGGCCTTCTTTTTCTCCTTTTCATCATGAACATGTAACTTCAACACCACTTTCTGTATTAACAAAAAAAAAAAAAGAAAAGAAAATCAGTAATTAATAGTTTTTTTTTACTTTGTGTTTCTTTAGTTATCGATATATCTGGTTAAACCGTAAACGACAAATAATACGAGAACGACGAAGTTATTACACTCTCGTTTTACTTTAATATAACTTCCAAGAATTAAATATGCACGAGACATATAAAAATAGATGAGTACTATAAAAATAAAATAAAAAGAAAAGAAAGGGAATATTTAATTTACCATGGCCATCTGAGAATACAAGTGTTGAGAATTCTTGATGAGGAATTTGAAGATTGGGTTTGATAAGAAATTAAATGCAAATGAAATTTAGTTAATGGTTTTGTGGTGCAAAGCATATAAATATATATAGTAGAAAATATGTGGAATTTGGTTGAAGGAAGAAGATGGGGGGAAATACCTTGCTGGAGAAGGAGCTAGTCTTTATATTTTAATATTTTTTATATAAATATATATATAAAAAGTCAATATATATATACATACAGAGTGAGTGATGAGTTGGACAGATTCTTGAATACGTAAAGGAATTCAACTCGTTTGGAACTGAGCTAAGACTCGGTCTCTCTTGGACTATCAAATTGCTAAGTCTTAAATCTGGTTGAACCTATTTTCAATTTATATTTATTATCCTTTTTTTTTTGTTACGTGGTAATTTGGGCAAGGAAACGTAGTTCGAGAATTAAGAAGAATCGAGAGATATGAATTAGGAGAATTAGAATTAGGAGAATTATAATTATGAGAAGAATTAGAGAAGACAAAAGGAAGATAATTTTTATTCATAAAGGAAATAATTATATTTGACTAATTCTATTAAATCTCCCACTAACTTACTAATCTAACTAACTTATTTTACTAATTAAATTATGCACGTATCATTCCCGCCCGCTCCAAAATATTCTTGTCCTCAAGGATATAGTCTCGATACATGTATGGGATCGTTTCGAGTGTTTGGAGGGTCAGTTGCCTGGAAATCTTTCATGTGCACATCCTCGATCATATAAATTTGAGGTCTCTGGCAATGGTGGCTTGATTGGAATTTTCCGTCTCGGTAGTAGCATAGGTCTTTCTCTTTTCGTTCACAGGGTTTTGGGCCAGTTACTGTTATGAAGGTGGGAGGTGAAAAGTTTGGAATAAGAGCATTTAATTTGGAGTTCGCAGCAATAGGTGGGGGGCCAAGTATGCTGGTTGTCTTTGGTGGAGTTGACGTCAATAGAGGTGGTTTGGTTGTTAAAAAATGGTTTGCACGATTAACCAAATCTATGGCATCTTTTGAAGCGACCTTCGGACAATGCGACCGGAAGTTTGTATTTGGAACAAGGTTATGAGTTGCGTGTGTTGTAGGTATGGTTATGTTTTGCCTGGCTAGTTGTGATGTTTCTCCCACAACAAAGGGGTTGGCATCATTTTGAGGTTTAGAAGAGGCCCTTAGAGCTCGAAGCTCTGTGAGGACAACTTGGAGGGTGTTATGTATTTGGTCGAAATTAGATTCGTGTCGAGCTAGAATTTCTCTAACCTCCATACGAAATTCAGCATCTGATTTGGTACGGGCCTCCATGGAACGTAACGACTCTGATACCATTGTTACGTGGTAATTTGAGCGAAGAAACATAGTTCGAGAATTAAGAAGAAATCGAGAGATATGAATTAGGAGAATTAGAATTAGGAGAAGAATTAGAGAAGACAAAAGGAAGATAATTGATTCATATATTTCATATCACGTAACATTCTAATTACCCTATTTATAATACTCATAAATAATAATTAAACTACCATCACACTAACCCATTAATTAACCAAATTACCCTACTAATTAGCTCACTTACTATGTGAACCCATTAATTAACCAAATTACCCTACTAATTAGCCCACTTACTAAAATGCTTGCATAATGATTTACGCACACATAGAGGAAATAATTATATTTGACTAATTCTATTAAATCTCCCACTAACTTACTAATCTAACTAACTTATTTCACTAATTAAATTATGCACGTATCATTTTTTTTCTGAACAAATTGAATTGTTTTCTGGTACTTCAATATTGTGTATTGACGCAAAAACATGTTTTTTTTTTTTTTTTTTTTTTTTTTAATTTTTAATTTAGCATTTTTCAGTATATACATAATTACCGGTAATAGAATCTTGGATTCGCCGGTCATTGTAACAAATAGTCATGCACTCATGCTATCTAGATAAATGTTTTAAAAATCGGTGGAGGGGGCTGTCTGAAACCTTAACGATTTTGGTGTAAATGTTTGAAAATTTAGCACATGAGGTGGTTTGAGGCGGCCCCTTCGAAATCAAATCGGCCAAAAATCGGTAAAAAAATATATTTTTCCTTTTTTTAGGGTTAATTTAAGTTCGACCCTCTCTTAGTTGTGAAATTGCAGACTCACCCTCTCGTAGTAGAAAAATTGCCCATACCTTTCGTGCTAGATGTTTCCGCTTACTCCGTTGATCCCTTCGTCCATTATTTTATCGAAATTGATGATGTCATCAAAAAATTGAATTGAACTTCCTATTTTACCCTTTTGACTAAAGTTGACTATTCTAACGTGTTACAGACCAAAATACCTTAACAGTTTATCATAGTTACAGGGGGTGTCAATTCTAAATTTGTCTATTTTTCCTCTATTTTTGGCCACATTATTTTTATTTTTAACTGTAGAAAATGAGGGTAAAAGTGGCATTTCACATGCTCTATTAGTCATTATAAGCGGAACTATCTTACGTGGGAGGTTTGTGCAATTTGTTGATTAAGAAGGGAGAACTCTGTAATTTCACTATCTAACAGGGGTCGAAGTGAAATTAACCCTTTCTAGAAATTAGGGCTTTTAACTCAGATTGTTTCTATTCTACCCCCTCTGTACGAAACTGCGGCACACTACGAATCGATGATACAATCGGGGTTAAATGATGGGGATAGAATCATGTTTAAATATATTATTAGAGTAAATCACAAACACCTCCTGAGGTATGGTCAAATTACGAAAACCCCCTTTCTGTTTAGGTAATTACAACCACCTCTCAACTATAAATCTTCTTAGACGTCCACTCTTACGGTGTCAAATTTAGTGGAATGTTCTAGATTATATGGAATATTCTCAATTTTGTACCCGTTTTATTCCATTCGAGCTCCACATTTTGAAGCAAGATGATCATATATAAGATGTGTTTTTTGGCTTGTATATATTAGATTGTGGTGCATCAAAAACTGCATTTTTGCACAAAAGAAGTACAAACTAGAGAACATTCCACGTAATCTAGATGATTACGTTGAATTTGGCACCATAAGAATGGAAATGTAAGAAGATTCATAGTTGAGTTGAGGGTAGATATAATTATCCAAATATGAGGGGTTTTTTGGTAATTTGACCATATCTCAGGGGATGTTTGTAATTTACCCATATTATTATGATCCTATTATTATAAAACTTTTGTTATGTGATCAGAATATATAAATAATTGATTGAATCATGTTTAAATATATTTATAGATTCTTTGAGTAATTACATGAAATATATTACACTAAATATGAAAAATCGTTTTGTTTCCAATTTATCGCTGATTGTTCACCCCCTCCGACCCGACTCACATTTTTTAGAACCTTTCAGCAAGATAGACATTCAATTTTCTTCTTCTACATCAAAAGAATTAGAAAAAAAACATGCATCATAAACCGAATTTTTTGGACTAAAATTTCTATTTATCCATAGGAAACAACATATGGAAGAAGAACCAATACATTATGGATGCTAGAATTAAACATCTTTTCAAATAATCCAATTAAACAAATAAATAAACAAAAAAAACAATTATAACATTCTAGAATATTCTTTTTTTTTTTTTTTTTTTTTGTAAAAATTAATAAGGAACCGGCACAGAAGATTTGCTAACTTGCTCAAGAACTTCAAGAACCTCAGCCCTACTCCTCACCATCCTATGGAAAACTTCTCTAACCTGCTGTTGGAGGGGCACCAGCCCCTCCTCCATCTTCCGGCATATCTCCGCCAGTTCCGCCACCTGCACCGCCATCTCCGCCGCCTTCTCCTCCTCCAACGGGAACACAAACGAGTCGGCGAAATCGATAAGCGACTGAGCCACCTTCTCCATCCTCTGAATCTCCTCCAGCAATCCAGTACCACTCCCTTTCTTCTCCTTCTTCTTCCACTCCTCCCCCATTTTCTCGAGCAGCCCGCCCATCGGCTGGGCCCACCCGAGTTGTTTCGGTACGGGTAAATGGGTCGCCAACCCGTTTCTCTCCTGGCAGGGTACCCCCGCCACCAGGGCCCACATCACGAACACTAGGATTATGCTCATGATGTATATCGGCATCGCCAGCCCGGTTGACTCGGCGCCACGTGGCGCCGCCAGGTTTGTCGACATGGCCTGGATCTGCTTCGCGGCCGACCAGGACTTGGCGACCGACCACGACAGGGAGCGGAAGCTCCCGCGGCGGTCCTTGGCGGCGGCGGCGGATTTGCCGTGGGGGTTGTCCTTGTCGTCGAGGACCATGGAGGTGAGGAGGGTGGCGAGCGCCTTCCTGGCGCGGCGGACCTGGCCCTCGCCGATGGGGGTCTGCTGCAGGGCGGCGGCGGCGATCTGGCCCAGCTTCTGCCAGTGGCGGACGAGCTCCACCCCGTGGGAGACGGCGTTGCAGACGTCGAGCGCCTTGACGGCGCGCTCCAGGAGGTCAGGGATCAGGCGGTCGAGCGGCGGCTTGGAGAACTGCGACGGGTCGCGGCCGGAGACGAGGACGGCCTTGAATTCCGCCTCGCAGCAGAGGAACGTGTCGAGGAGCGTGCGGAACCAGTTGATTGACAGGAACGGCGGCGGAGGAGGCGGGATGTACTTGTCTATTGCCGGCGCCGCGGCGCCGGGGGAGTCGGTGTCAGCGGTGGCGGAGGAAGGGGTATCGCCGGAGCCGGCGGTGCTGGCATTATTAGCTGCCGGGGCGGTGGTGGAGAGGGAGGAGAGAATATCGGAGAAGCGGATGGCGACGTGTTTCTGGAAAAGATCGAGATCCTCTAATTCTTGATCGGTTTCGATGGAAGGAAGCTGGTTGCGGCGGATGCTAATGAGGTTGAGGAAAGAGCCTTGATTATCGGTCGCCGGCATGATTGGTTGGTGTTTATTCTCTCTCCGGTGAGATTGAAAGAAGTTTGATTTGGTTAAGGGAGAAGAGAAGAGGAAAGAAGAAAAGAAGGAAAGTTGATCGGTTAATATATTTGTTGACCGGTAAATGAATGGGCTATAAGCTTTGTCGGAAGCATCACCGTATTTCTCTCCTCCTGCCGCTGACTAGGTACTTTTTTTCTTCTTTTTTCTTCCTATTTTGCCCCTGCTAATTCCAACTATTTCAATTTAAAAAGAAAAAGAAAAAATATATATATATATATATATATATATATATATATATATATATATATATATATTAATTCTTGAATTAATAATCTCGCTTAAATAATAATTTTTCTTTATCCCTGCTCGGTGAAAGCGCATTAAATTATTATCTCGATAATTTAATATTTTGCTGAATTAATAAAAATTACAGTCTCGATTATATTAATTAAGAGATGTAAGTTTAACTGTATATTGACCAACTGAGATAACTAATTATCCAAAATCGGATAATATAAAGTGAACCATAATGTTAATACACAACCAGATGTTATACTTATATTTGGTGTACATGCACTTAGCTTGGTACATTATTTTTCTTCTTAAATCAATAAATATTAAATAATTTAATCCACTGACGATTTAAATTTTTAGATAATGCATCAAAGCAAAGAATCCTAGTTGACCAATATGCTGATCATAGTAATAGCTAATAAATGGTTCTATGGAGATTGGAGTACTTGAAGTTGGAAGGGCCTCTAAATTTGCAATTTCAAGAGTAGGAATATAAAATGGCTAAATTACCGTCACCTCCTCATGTAAGGTTAAATTATGAAAAAAATCCATTTAATTTTGGTAATTACAACCACCCATAAACTATGTATTAACTCCCATAGACTAATTTTTACTTGGCGTGGTGAATTAAAATCCTATTCTGTATGGGCTCGTTCGAAAATTTTACCACAAATACCCTTATCAAACCCAAAATTTACAATTCACCAAATGCGAAGTTGGGTCTACTATCGATAAATGTTGAGCATCAATTTTAAAAACTAATATTGAACTTTCTGCTAACTAATTTTAATTTGGAAGAAACCCTAAGCTCATTTGTGTAACTTTGGGCATTTTTCTTGTCCTTTTGACACTAAAAACACGCAATCACTCGAAATACATTTGTTATATATACCGAGTCCTCATACTAACTTACAAACCATACGAGAGATGTCATATCATAACTTAGGGATTCTGTTTTTTATTTTTTGTCATTTTCTTTTGGATAGGTTTGTTTTCGATGGATGATGGTGTAAAAAGCAAAGTTTTGAAATGCAAAATATATAAATACAAGACAAGAAAAATAGCAAACAAATAATATTATTAATCAAAATGAAATGTGGATTACAAACTCCGGAAATTCCCCTGTTTCTTCTCTCCTATTCTAAAATCGATTTAGGGGCTTAGAAGTTTGTTCTTGAACCGAATAAATATAAACACCTCGAATTTAAATATGTTATGAATTCGAGGTGGGGACTCGAGATTTGAGATTGAGAGCTCGATATATATATGTCTATGGGAGAGTATCTTTTAACTCGGCACAAGCTAGAGTTTTTTTATTTGCAGAGTATGGCGGACATTTTAAAGTCCAACTATGGTTTGGACTTTAATTTGAACTCTAATTAATAACTAATTTATTTTGACTATTAATTAATAATTTATCTCAAAATTCGTACGCGGATGATATTAATGCCACCTAAAGTAGACCTATTTCTTAGCCCAAAGTATTTGGGCCACAACTAAGATTAATTTGAAGGGTCCAAAATCCAGTCAGCCGACACGTCATGGGTTTCTTTGAGGTATTTATTACATTTTGGACCTTTTAGGCTTCATTTAACTTACCCCATCAAATAATAATAATAATAATAACTAATTACATTTCATCTAATATTTATTTATATGGGATTATTTTACAAATCCCGCCCATATGCATTGTCCAATTAAGAGAGGTCCAAATTATTTTTTCATTTTTAAGATAAATTCAAAATATTTTTTAATTAATCATAAATAATTTAATTCACTTTTATACCTTTCACCTAATCCTATACAATTCACGTTCTCAATTTTTTTTTTTTACAAATTTCTCTTCTCTCTCTCTCTCTCTCTCTCTCTCTCTCTCTCTCTCTCTCTCTCTCTCTCTCTCTCTCTCTTTTCAACAGTAGCAGCCGTCCCCTCTCTTCTCCACATTATCGATCTCTTTCCCCAAATATCGGTTCCTTCACCGAGGGTGAGACCTCTCACTCCACCGCCTCCCCCATCTTCACCGCTCAAAAGACCGCCTCTGTCTGCCTCCTCGTCATCCACCATGACAGCATTGCAGTTCCTTCATCCTCTAGGGCGGCGATCTCAATCTTCCCAGTCGGTGGAGGAAGAGGCGGCGATGTTTTGCGGCGGGTCGACGAGATGTATGGGTAATACGAAAAAATAGAGAAATTTGATTTTTTCTTGTTTATGTTTTTTAATTGTGTTTTCGGAGCCTTTCAACTTTTAATTGGGTAATTTATTTTCTTTGATAATTGGGAATGTTCGTACGAAACTTAGAATTATGTTCTTTAAGTCAGAGTATAATTATTTATCTTCAATTCGAATTTCTTGTATCAGGTAAATATTTTATGGGATTCCTAATATTGTTTATGTCGATTTGATCCATGAATGTTTGGTTTCGTCTTTGGTTTCGCCTCAAAACTCTAGTTTTTCTATCACCAACAAAATTGTATATATCCTTTCATGTCGAATCTGATGATGTTTAGGCTAGTAAAGATTGTTTTTAATGAAAATTTTATGGTATTTTAGGCTAGTAAAGATTGTTTTTAATGAAAATTTTATGGTATTTTATTTGTTTATAAATGGGAGACGAGGATCATTATGTATTATATGTAGTTAAATGGGGTTGTCGTTATCTTTTCTCCATGAATATGTGCTTTGTTTATTTCGTATGATGATGAAAAATAAGTATGTTCTGTTTTCTGAAAAAAATAATTAATTCAATAGTGGTTTTCAAGCATTAAATCTTAATAGTTATGTATGATCTAATTTCAATTTTAAATTTCGATATATCGTTTGGTATATGTGAATCCTTTAAAATTCACTAATATTTATAGGGCAAATTACCAAAACCCCCCTGAGGTAAGCCTAAATAACGAAAATCCCCCCATGTTCTCGTAATTACGAAAACCCCCCTTGACTAACGGTTGACCGAATTTTTTTAACCGAAAACGTGAAATGTCTATTATATCCTTCTGTTAAATATGTAAAAAATAAAGGGCAAATTACCAAAACCCCCCTGAGGTAAGCCTAAATAACGAAAATCCCCCCTGACATCCCTTTCACTTGATGATTTATTGCTTTTATAAATTTATTTATTACTTTGTAATTTGTATTGATAATTTGATATTATAATTTTTTTATTTTTTTATTTGAAAAAGGGCATCTTCCCCAACCAAACTTATCCCGTCACCACCGGCCCAACCAAATTACTCTTCATCCATTTCAGCCCTCAAACCGCCGCCTGCCACCTCTGCTTTACCTCCCTCCGCCGCCTCTGTTTCGCCGCCCTCCGCTTGCCCAACTCTGCTTCGTCGCCCTCCGCCGCCTGCCGCCTCTGCTTCATCGTCCATCGAAAATTAAGGACTATAACCCGAAAGCACATCACACCGAAACACCAAATTAATCAATCTTTCTCTCTCCCGAAAAAAAAACAACAAATTGAGGACTGTATTGTTGATTAAGCTTTGATTCCAAAAACTCAAATTCCTCGGGCGGATTCAAACTCTGATTCAAAGAAAAAAATTTGGTTTGGGGCTGAAATTGATGGACCGCCGCCGAAGGTTTCAACGGCGGAAGGTATATCCCTTGCTACAGTGTCATATTTCCACCAAATGGGTTGCTTCCACCACTGCAATTCGCCGCCGCCGTCACCCGTTGATTGATTGCGGCAAAGAAATAACCACCAGCCGGCAGTCAAATTTTGAGACCGGAGCACCGGCGAAAAAAACCCAATTTCTTTGCCTTGTGATGGTGAAGGGGCGGATTAAATAGCAGATTTTTCGAAATCGAACTAGCAGATATGGGGGGATGGATTGAAATTGGTTCGGTGGTGGTGGGGGTGGTGCGGCGGATCAGAGGTTGTGGTGGTTGGTGTTTGATTTGTGAGAGGTTATGATTAGGGGTGGGCATTCGGGTAGGGTTATTCGGGTATAACCCGACCCGGTCGGGTATTACCCGACCGGATCGGGTAATTTTTTACGTAACCGGGTTTTTCCCGGGTTCGGGTACCCAGTGCTCCCAAACCGGGT